ATTTTTCCTGTGCTGTTTTCAGGAGTCTTTCTTTGTCTTGGGTTTTGTGAGTTTGATGATGATATGATTGGGTGATTTTCTCTTTGGGGATATCCTACTCAGGGTTCGTTGAACTTCCTGAATGATTATATTCTCATCTTTCATTGTATCAGGGAAGTTCTCTTCCAACAAATCTTGGACAATTTTCCATGTTTTCTTTTTCTCTCCCTGTTCTGGATTTCTAATTACATTAATATTATTCCTTTTGATGGCAACTTTAGTCTTTCTTCATTTTGTTTTGATCTTTTTTCTGACTGATCTCTTTCCAAAGAAGTATTCAGATATTTGTTTTCAGTCTCATTAATTCTATCTTCCATTGATTCAATTCTACTTCTTTTCTCTTTCAATATATTATTTATTTCTAAATATTTAACATTAATCTTCTGGATTTCTGTCTGTAGATTTTTTTAATCATTTCTAATTTTTCATTTATTTTTTTCATTGTGTTCTTATATTTTCTTCCAAAATTTTTGTAACATTTTGTCTGTGTTTTCCTTAATCTGTCTCTAAATCCTTTGAAGGCATCTAAATATAACTCTTTTGAATTTCTTATCAGTGAGTTCCATTGCTTCTGCTTCTTCAGGAATGTTTTTTGCATCTTTATCCTGTTTATTTGTTTCTACCACTTTATTTTGCTTCTTTGTGTGGACTGTGATGGTCTGTCTCTGAGATATTGTGATGTTGTTGTATTTAGATTTCTGTTAACTGTTTGTGAAGAGCAGTTAAAGGTAAGTCAAGCTCTTCTTGTTGGTCATTTATCCTTGGCCAGTTGTTGGAGAAGGTAGTGGTAGCTCTCACTCAGTAAATGGAGCTGAAGGAGGTGCAGGTGTGGTTATGTCATATGGGCACCGTTGCTGTCTCCCACTCAGTGAGACAAAAACAACAATTGAAAAACCATCAAAAAAGTGAAATCAAGTAGACCAAAAAACACACTGCATACATACACAGGAACATCACCACAAAAAGAGAAGAAAAGGAGGGAAAATCTTGCAATGTCTGGAGAGCCGGCAAAAGAGAAAAGAAGTAGCATAGGAGAATAAAGAAGAAAAAAAATGTGCAAAAAAGCAAAAAGAAAAACAAGGAATGGGGAGAGCCATGTAAAAGAAATAAATGGGAATCAGGAATGGGGAAGAGAGAAAAAGCTGAAAACTAGAACCTGCGAAGGGAAGAATAAAGGATAATAATAAAAAGGATAGAAAAAAATAATTTTAAAACAGACAAAACAAACTTAAAAAAGGAAAACAAACAAACTAAAAAAAGGGGGGAAAATCTGGGCTGGGCAGGGCAGTATACCCAGGCTCCATCATAGCACACAGACTGGGATAGAATTCCTGCTGGCCCAGAAGATGGGTGGGAGTGAGGGATGGCTGCACCTCTGTTCATCAAGGGGGTGTAGGGTATAAAAGTAAGAAGGAGAATATCACACCTTTTTAGTAATTTCTGTCGGGAATGTCTTTGCGATCCTCGCAAGTAGAGCCTTTTCTTAGGTCCCTGGACTCTGAAAGATCTTTGTTGCTTTAAATATCCAAAATGGTTAAATCACTTGTAAACATTCAAAATAGCTGCTCCCTCTGTACAGCCAAAATTCCATGGCTCAGCCCTTGTCCCTCTTTGCTGCTGCTGCTGCTTTTATTCACCAGACACTAGTGTACTCCTCCGTCCAGCCCCTGGCTAGCAGGACCAATTTTTAGGTTAAATTTTAGGTCCTAACACCACTAGGTAGTATCAAAGCTGTCCATGCTATCAGGATCCCTGACAGACTCCAGTTCCGTATGTCTCCTTTTTTGGTCTTTTCATGCAGATTCTTCTACTAGCTGGAGTTTAGTTCACTTTTGTATTCTTCCTTTCAAATCTCAGGGGTCCAGAATTGTCTTATGTATTTGTGTTAATTTGTCCCCTTTTCTTTGTTGAAGAAGGGCTGTGTAGTTTATCTGCCTATTCCCCCATCTTACTGGAACTCCCACCTAAATTATCTTATTAGCATTAGTAATCTTATTAAAAATATAATTAAAATAATAATTTTAATAAATAAAAAGTAATTATAATTAAAATAGAATTTTTGCAGTTATATCATTAGTAAAGGCACTTGACTGCTAGCCACAGAGCTAGTGGTTCACACCCACCAGCCAGTCCTCAGAAGGAATGTTGGGCAATCTATTTCCATAATGACACTGCCTTGTAAACCCAAGGAGGGGTAGGTATGAGTCAGGTTGGATTCGACTGCACATAACAATAAGAACAACATTGTTAGTAAAACATAAGAACTCTATATTGATCTATTATGTTTATTAATTATTTTTATCTCCTTAACTTCTGCTTTCACTGGACCACTAAGATAATATTAATAATTATGAAAGACTTTAATATGTAGTTCCTCATTTTAATTAAGTTTTGTTGTTTGCATTTAAGTTTGTTTTTTTTTCTCAGTTGTGTTCATTAAGCTTTATTTAAGTAATTTTCTCTTACTATTTTAAGAGTTGTTATTCAGAATGCCTAACTGGGTTTTCAAAGTCTTTTCAATATTTATATTAATATGATTCTATGATTCTACCCTTTAATTGATAATGTTGATATAGCTCTTAAACTAAGCCAAATTTCCACTCTTGGAAAACTCTTCTTGGTCATGACTTATTAGTTTTTTCATAAGTGTTTTAAATTTATTTGATAATATATTATGGATAATTTTTATAGCTATAATCACAAGTGAGATTGTGCTATACTTTTGTTTGTTTTTCCTAATTTCATCACTATTTATTTTTTAATTAAAAATATTCTGGCATTGTAAAATGCATTAAAGAGCTTTTCATATTTCTCTAACATGAGGTACTTCAAACCATGTTGAAAAGATCTGTTCTTTAAAATTTAAATTAAATAAACTTAGCTGTGGGTCAATACATTTCCTGGAGATTTTTTCCTTACTGTTCCAGTTTATTTTATGGCAATCAATTTATTCATTTTTCCTCCTCCTTTTTGGTTTGGGGGAGTTTGTGCTTATATAGTCTGTCTTTAATTAACTGCATGTTTGAAATTTTGTAATAACTGTTTTAAGGACTTGGGAAGTAAAGTTCTTGACTATTTGTTAAATTTTAAAATTTTGATTCAGTTGAGTTTTACTTGAACTTGAGTTTTCAGCTAGAATAATTTTTTTTTAAATCATTTTTCCCTACTCTATTCTTTTATAAGTGAAATTCAGAAATTTAATGAGCTTCTATATACTATTTCCATTACTCTTAGTTTGGAATTTGGAAACAGTATTCTTACATTTAAGGAGGCCTGGTAGAGCAGTAGTTAACTGCTGAGCTGCTATTAAAAGGTCAGTGATTTGAACCCATCAGAGGATCCTCTGGAGGAAAGACCTGGTGGTTGGCTCCAATAAAGATTCTAAAACCAAAAACCCTGGGCTGTTGAACTGATTCCAACTCATTGCCTAGAAAACCCTTTGAGGCAGTTTAACTCTGTGTGTAGAATAACTGTGAGTTGGCATCACCTTGATGTCAAACAACAACATTCTTATCTTTACTGTTCCCTGTTGATTTTAGTATTCAAAGCCCAAATACACTGCCTTTTGGCTTTTGTTCTTTTCACTCAGAGATAATACTGCTGACTTGCAACCATAGGTAATTGATTAAATACATGATGATAGCTAAAAAATAATACATTTTAATTCTGCAATCTTTATCTTTCTGTGCAGTCTGCATTGACCTGAATCTAGGAAAATCACTTTCTAAATGTATTTTTTGGTCAAAATAATTGACTTCCAGGTTGCCCATCACTGTATGATTATCAAAGGGCAGGCTCAGACCTTGATGTCATTTGGCATGGCCTTCCTTGTAAGTCTCCAATATTCAATCAGGCTGCCCTGACAGCTGTTCAAAATGTGTGATCTTTGAGCTGCTAGGAGATGTTATCCCACTGTACATTTGCCATGAGCACATCACTGTAGTTAAAATCAAAAATCAGTTATTTTGTTAAGGTCCAGATTAGATCTTTAATTAAGCTTTCATCCCCATTAGCACAGACAACAATGTCAAACATGTAAGCCCTAGGAGAAACCAAATGCATTCATAGTCTCATATTCTTTAGTACTTTGTGAAGAAGCTTAAAAAATAAAACTTTCCTGGGAATTTCATAAGGACACGTTGACTATCTAATTGTAAGCTTAGACACTTCACTTAATTTGGATTTCACATATTTACAGCATGAGTTAAACCCAAAAAAATTATTTTAGTGATTTAAATGATTCTCTTATTTTTAATCAGTTGATTTGTATTTCATATATTTAATGTTACCCATATGAAAACACTTTTGTTTATCTATAGAGCTTAATGGTAACCAGGTTTTGAACCAGTTCAAACCAGTTCAGTCATGGCTGGCAAAGGGAAACTAGGGTGAATTGGAATTTGCAAAGTGTGGGTGCCTAGAATGATAACTAGAATGGAAAAGAACATATGTCAAAACCCTGGAATGAGATACTTGGAGAGGCACGTGAGCCCTTCCATGTATCTGTATCTCCTGATACGGGAGATTGGATTATTGCTAGGACTGTGGAGAGCAACACATAATCGGAGAAGTGTTGTTGGCCACCATCTTTGAGCAGGGCAAGGTTGTTTCTCACTCTGCTGGTCAAGAGATTTGCTTGCTATGCAACATACATGCTGCCTTATTTCTAAAAGAGAGATTAAGTTTATAGCAGAATGCTGACCTGTAATTTTCCTAATTCCAGTTCTCATTCCAGGCACCCACAATTTTCATATTCCAGTCTGTTGTAATTTCTTGTCATCAGCCATGATTGAACTGGGAAAAACTGATTCGAAGCCCTGATGATAACTAAATGAAAATGTAATTTTATTTACCTCATTAACAGTTGAATGTGTACAAGGAGAAGATGCTAAAGCAAAAAACTGTTAAATGTAAAAATAGTCAAATTTACATCCTTATGACTTTAAATTTTTTTTTCTCAGGATCATTTATTTATTTTGAAACACATCAGCCTCCTGAGGTAGCTAAGCTTGGAAGTCCAATCCTTACAAAATTACTCCCAGCCTCTACTACATGTCAGGTAATTAACAATCCTTGAATTTCCATCAGTCACTCTGTGGTTGTGTAGCCCTTTAGACTCGAGTTACTTATGCTAGTTAAATGCTGCCTATGTTTTACTACCACTTTCATGATGAATTGAGAGATTTATATGAGGTCTTTCAACATGAAATATCATGTCCTTCTAAAAGACCATTTATAGCATATAATGTATACTATTCTTTTAGGGGGCCCATAAAGAATGTTTATGTCATTTTATATTCTTTCAATATTTATCTAATTCTTGCATAATCAAAAACTGTGGATACATGTTGACAAAATTGCTTGTTCTTTTGGCCAACGATGTTAATTGAGTAAAATAAAATTGGCTAATTTTATTTAAGTGCTTGTTGAGAGAAAATGCAGGGATGAATACAGGTAAATATACAGAAAAAAAATACATTCATTGAAATGTTATTATTTTAATTAGTTTTTCTGGTGCCAGATAAGCACAGATCAAGCAGTAAAGATATCTAGTCCCTTTCAAAGTCACAATAGAAAGGAAAGGGGATGGACTTTGGAGTCAGACAGACTTGATTCAAATCCCTATTCTACCCTTCCTAATTGTGTTATTGTCAATTTATATACTCCCTTGGAGACTTGGTTCTACACTGAAGCAGTAAGTGTTAAAGTATCTCCATCATATGATTATTATAGATTAAAATGGGATTAACTAAAGTATCTGACAATGTACATGGCAACATGGCACATAATAAGCACTCAGTAGACATAATCCCTTTGCTTTCCTTAAAACTAATTCCTAAATTACATGTTTTTGTTAATTTTGCCTTGTTTTCACCCGTAATTTGTCTCTAAGTCCCATGATGTCAACTTTTTTTTCTCTTTAGTCATTAGAAAATAATAGGTATCAATACTGTCACACACTAAATTCATCACCTGTAACTTTAGGATTAAGAAACCCTTAAAGAAGTGGCACAGTGGTTAACTGGAAGCCACTCCAAGGGAGAAAGACATGGCAATCTATTTGTGTAAAGATTACAGCCTTGGAAATCCTATGAAGTGGTTCCACTCTGTCCTATATCATCATTTTGAGTGGGAGTCTGCTCACTGGGAATAGGTATGGTTTGTGTTTAAAGTGTATGGTTAGAGCAGTTTGTTCAGGCATTCTTAATGGTATATTTATTGCATATCATTTAGAGGCATAAATCCAGTTAAACTCTCAGTGTGTAATAAATTGGAATAGGATTACCCATAGCTCTGGATACGTACTTCTCTCTATTTTTTTCCTTTTTGGTAGTTTCTTCTTCATGTTTCTCTGTGGGGATTGGAATTGAAACAACAGCCTGGATTTAACTTCCAATTTACCCAACTACATCCCACCCTCTCTCTTCTTTCCTTTCTTTTATATTAAATCCTGTGTGATAGAAAGATTGATAGTTTTTTTTTTTTTTTTTTTTTTGAGAACTCCAGAAACACTTGCTTACTCTTTAAAAGTACTTGCAATTTTACTTAGCTTTAATTTAAGGTCATGCACTACAGTGTTGAGATCACTTCATATATATATGAAGCTCTGGTAGCATAGTGCCTAAGGCACTTGACTGCTAACCAGAAGGCTGGCGGTTCAAACCCACCAGCCACTCCTTGGAAGGAAGGTTGGGCAATCCTATTTCCGTAGTGATACTGCCTCGGAAACCCAAGGAGGGGTCGCTATGAGTCGGGCCGACTCAACGGCACATAACAACAAATATATATATATATATGTATGTATATATAAAAGACACTAGATATAAAGGAATAGAATGTGTTGGTTATGTATGTTTAACCAAAATTTGGAAACAAACATTACAAGATTGTTACAAATTCCTCTGATTTACTGATAAATCATATTTTTTTTGTCTTCTCAATGATTATCGACATTTGCCATTCTTATATGCTAATAATCTGTGATCACTGGGTATCAATGTATCATTGTTTCCTCTGAGAACATTCTTCTCTATTTTTTGCTAGTATTTGGAACTTAGCTGTGGGTGGTTACTTAGGTGGGGCCTCAGTGTAAATGCTGTGATGAACAGTTTACATACTTGATAGTTCATTGTTCACAACCAAGGCTCCTATCCTCCAAAGATCTTGGGTGCTAACTTAATGGTTTGCCTTGGTTTTCAGAAAACAGAATGTCAGGGAGCCACCATAGAAAGAAGAAGTATTTTTTTATGACTTTTGTCTGCATCTCCTGGAACATTAGGAATCTTTGAGCTTGATGAAAGGGGGTTATTTGTTATGCTTTCTAACAGCTTTCCAGTTTAGGAACTAATAGAAGACTATTAGATACAGTTATATACATAGCTAATGTTCTCTGTCAAAGGGGCTGTCTAAGAATATAATATTACATTTTTCATAATAATATGTGATTTTTTTTCATAAAATTTCAGTACAAGCATACAAACCAAATTTTTATCTTATTGGGTAATCAAAAACTCCAGCTGATCATTCTAATTGGAACATGTTGATAATAGCCATTTTCATGGGATAACAAATATTATTCATTATGAACTAGGAAAAGTGAGGCATTGAGATAGCCAAAGTTAGACACTTTGATAAGATGAAAGCCTCCATTTTATGAAATTATATGATTTTTTCCCCAATAGCATCATATCAGGCTAATGCCAATAAGAATATTTTTCTTGAAAAGACTTTAAAGAAACATGAACATTCCTTTGAATCTCCTTTTCAAACAACCCTCTTTTAGGGTCATTTTGCATGAATTAGCCCATACTTTATGTATAGCCAGCATATGGCATGAATTTGCAAAATTTTTTTCTGCAACTAATCATTGTCCAAAATGTGAGTTTTAATTTAAAAGCTTCAAATGTTCTTTCAGCCACTGCTGGAAACTTGACAATTTTTCTTGGAATAGCCAGCAGGTAAGACATACTGGGCATCTGGCAGTCAGACACTACTGTTTCTTATTGAAGTTGGGATACATTAAATATTTTCGATTAACTAGGAATTATCAAATATAGAGGTGATTATTGTAGGTATTGATATTTTCTGAGTTATATTTGAGTTATGGTACAAAAGTCACAATATCTCATTTTGAAGACTGCATTTAAATACAGGGATATTGGTAATATGAAACATTTTATCCCATTGTAAGTCATAATTAAAAAATAAATAAATAAGGAAATCAGGACAAAGATGAAGTAAAAGGTGAATTCGTTCTTAAAGTTGATTTATGGCTCGGCTATACATTTGAGTCTTAAGTTGTCCAATGTTAAAAGTAGAGAGGAAAATGTGAATCATTATGTGGTTCAAATTCAAGAAGTAAATAAAACAAAACAAAAATAGTTTATCAGAGACTCCTCTTCTCTGTACACACAGTGATAGCAATGTAAACATGCCTTCTCTGATTCAGTACACGTTTATTGCTTAACAGTTGGTGCTGATCATAGCCCTTTAAGATGGATGGGAATATAAGAACAACCTAAACTCATGTCTGCCTTAACTAAATGTAGAGTTCAGTGAGAGGCACTGACAGAAATTCAGTGTTAAGTGCTACTGGGTGTGGAGGTAGATAGAAGATAATAACATGGACACAGTGTACAACAATCTCTCAAAGAGTTTTGAAAGACCATGTCTTACAACATTCCCCTAAGTAGGGTAATGAACTCATGTCAAAGAGCAATTTAGAAAAACACAGTTATGGATTGGGGCTTGAAATGGTGTAGTCATACTTTGTTCCTGATAGTTTTGTTTGATCAAGGATAAATATAAGAGTGTCTGATGAGTTCTAAAAGAAATAATAACTTATGGGGAAAAAGGTTGAGCAACTACTATGTCCAGTTGTGTATGATTGAAAAAGATAAAAATTAATAATTTTAATGAGAAAGACATATGTTATAGAAAATCATAAACTTCTACTTATTGTATTCAAGTAAAGAACATTAGGAAAAAAATATATATAATTATGGCTAGGAGCCTACCACTAGTCTGTCAGTTTGCCAGACTGTGGTGGCTTATTTGTTTCTATGAGGCTGGAAGCTATGCCACCAGTATTTCAAACACCAGCAGGGCCACCCATGATGAACAGGTTTCAGTGGAGCTTCCAAACTAAGACAGATTAGGAAGAAGAATGTGGGGAAAAAATTGTCACTGAAAAAACTGATGGATAGTCGGGAAACATTGTCTAATATAGGGCTGGAAGATGAGCCCCTCAAGTTGCAAGGCATTCAAAATATGACTGGGGAAGAGCTGCCTCTTCATAGTGGAGTCAACCTTAATGATGTGAATGTTGTTGTTAGGTGCTATCTAGTTGGCTCCAACTCATAGTGATCCTATGTACAACAGGATGAAACACTGCCTAATCCTGTGCCAGGCTAACAATCCTTGTTACACCTGAGCCCATTGTTGCACCCACTGTGTCCATCCATCTCATTGAGGGCCTTCCCCTTTTTCATTGACCCTCCACTTTTCCAAGCACAATATCTTTCTCCAGGGAAGGGTCTCTTATGACAACATGACCAAAATAGGTGAGATGAAGTCTGGTCATTCTCTCTTCCAAGGAGCTGCACTTCATCCAGGACAAACCTGTTCATTCTCCAGGCAGCCCATGGTACTTTCAGTATTCTCCACCAACACCACAGCTCAAAAGCATCATATCTTCTTTGATCTTCCTTATTCATTGTGTAGCTTTCACAGGCATATGAAGTGAACAGTGTAAAGCTTTGTTGACCTTCATTTGCTGATGTGGCACAACTCAAAATATGAAGAAACAGCTGCAAGCATCCATTAATAACTGGAAACTGGAATGTAAAAAGTATGAATCTATGAAAGTTGGAAGTTGTCAAAATGAAATAGAATGGATAAAATTCAGTATCCTAGCATTACTGAGCTGAAATGGACTGGTATTGGCCATTATGAATCAGGTAATCATATAATATACTATGCCGGGAATGATGAAGAGAAATGGTATCACATTCATCATTAAAATGAACATCTCAAGATCTATCCTGAAGCATCTATCAA